CCCAGGAGCACCAGCACATTATAAGTACATCCACTCTTCCTGGAAGATGTTAGAGCTTCTGCATGTCACCCTACAGCACACGAGGGCTGTTCCAGCCAGCCCAAATCATGCCTGGAAATTCCTTCCTCCACCACACAGCACATGCACAATGCTCACGGCTGACACATACGCAAGCCGAGAAAGTCCTCTAAATCTGTACGGCCAGGGCTGGTGGGAGGATGCTCCTGGAAAAGCCCCAGTTGGATGGCATCCCCAGGGTGGCTCACGGGTCCCCATCAGCTTCTGTGCTGGAGAGGAGACGGTTCTGCAGCCCCCTCCCTGCTTTTACTCGCTTTCTGAAGGACCTCAGAAGCAGCATTCCCAGGGATGCTCAAAGGGAAGATGCTGTTATTTCAGGATTCAACGAGGCGGCCACGGCACCTTCTCTGCAATTCAAAAAGTCCACCATGAGCAGCCTCCAGGCACCTGCCCGCACTGAACGTGGGTGTGTTGAAGTAAGCGAGAGGGAGAAATTCGGGCTGGTGAAGGGCAACAAGGGTGCTCAGAAATGCCACCCCAGTCCTGGCCCCCGCAGATGTGACGGGGACACCACAAACCTGCGGCATCTGGGACTTTTCCACTCGGATTGAGCAACTTACTGAAATACAGGGCTGACAGCCGGAAGGGGTGCCAGCCTGCCCAGGTGCGGAGAAGGGCTGGAGGTCTGAACCTCACACAGCCATTGCCACAACTGTCCTTCAAGCTGTCCCCAAGGGCCCCCAGTCTGCAGCCCAGTTCCTCCTCTGGTCTTATGGCTGTTACTCACCTATGTAGATTTGTCCCTGTCCCTCAGCTGAAGATCCCCATGAGGACAATCCCTATTATTATTTGTCATCCTTAGGCCATGATGATATTGCTGCACACCCCAGGAATAAAGGGGAACAGAGATGCAAGGGGGTTTTCCTTAAATACAAGCTTTTACTCATGCTTGTGCTTTGTGGTGTGATAGGCACCAAGCATCCCAAAGGTCAGAGCAACATCCCCCAAATCTTCACAGCAGCACAGATGTTGATCAACAGCTGATCCGCCAGAGAGCAGCCCCATCCCATGCCTTCTCGCTCTGGCTCAGCTTTCTTTGTGAAGAACACAAGTAAAAAGCAGGTAGGGTCCTGACCCACCGTACTGTCTGAGGGGCAACCCAGGGCTGTAGGGAAGAAATATCCCAACATGTTCTTGAACACAGAGTCATTCTTCCTCCAAAATGCTTACTTGATTACCAGCGGTTTGTTGCTCTTGCTCAGGTTATCCTCCAGGAATAAGTTGTGCAGCATCCCTCCATGAATAAAGAAATAAAAGGGAAAAAAAACCAAACAGTGTTTTAGCCACAAAGTCAACAGAGCCCATGAAAATCACTCTCCTTTCTCCAGACTTCGTTGTCTGCACAAGTCTAACCAGCAGGGAATGATCACAGTCATACCAGCTTTACTCCTTTCAAACCCTAATTAAAAGTCAAGCTGTAACCTGGCTTTTCAGAGCCGGCCCTTTGCCTGGTTCTCCCCACATTTCATGCAGAAGGATGGTTTTCTTCTCTGCACGAGCCATTTCCAGTGCCACCTCTCCCACAGCAGCCCACGGCACCAGAAAGCGAAAGCCTTCTGCTGTGGCCGTGGAGAATTCTCGTTTCCAGAGAGACAGATAAACAAAAAGCCACAAGACATGGAGAGAAATGGCTAATGACAGGGACGTCAAAGAGGTAGAGCTGTCACGTTAGCAGCGAGCCCGATGAAGTTTCAGGGAGCAGAGGGTAACGACAGCAGCCTGCCACAGTTGGGAGAGGACCGACCATGAACACGGGGCAAAAGAAACGCGTGAGGACATGTCTGAAGGGCTGCAAAGCCCCAGTTGTTAGATGCTCTCGGTTTTGGGGACACTGCTGCTGTCCTTGCCTGGGTTTATTCGGGTCCTGAGGGCTGTCTGCCGGTGCTGGAGGTGTTTGGGGTGGGAGCAAAGGCATGGAGGGTTAGAGAAAAGCCTTCTTGCACCGATTTCTCTGGCAGAGTGTTGCCCTGACTGGTGCTGGAAGCCACTGGGGGTTGATGGCAGGGTCCGAGTTTTTCCGTCTTTTATCTCAGAGGGTGCTTGTGCAGGGGGTGAAGGGGCTCTGTGTTCCCCTGGCACCTTCCTGCTGGCTTCTCTGCCTGAGCAGGGTTGGAGGGAGGGAATGTATCTGTCAGAGGGATCCCCTGGGGCCAAGCACAGGGCAGCTTCTCTCTGGACCCATCGGCCGGTGCTCTTGGTCCCTAGCAGACCCTTCCAGTCCAGCAGATCTCCCAAACTGGGTGATACAATGCCTCCCGCTCAGAGCATCGTTACCTCACTGTCATCTCCCCGCCATCCCTGGCTCTTTGCACCCTTGGACTAATGACAATATTTTCCCATTTCAGGACACACACAGAGGGACCCCAAAGTCCTCGCTGCTGCCTGACCCCTCCGGTCCTTTCCCAGCTCTTCCCAGTTGGGCTTGCAGTGAAGATGCAAGGAGCGAGAGGAGGAGGAGGAGAGGGCTCTGCATATTCACCACTTGCCTCTGCCTTTTCCCGGTCAGAAATTCAGATGGGCCCTCGCTAGGAGGGGATCAGGACATCTCCCCGGGGCATTCCTCGCTATTGTGGCTCCTCTCCTCCGCCCCAGGCGATGTGTGTTTGTAGTTACCAAATGCAAATCACATTTCCCACCCTCCTGGCTGAATCTCTCACTCCACAAGATGCTTCTCCTGTTGGTTTTTGTTTTTTTTCTCACTAGCTCGTTTCGCAATGCTCTGCGGAGTGCTCGGCCCCTCCCGGTTTCACCTCCCTCTGATCTGGCGATGGAGGGTAGGGATTTAACAACCCTCCTAATTAAGTACCTGCACCACCTCTCGGCTCAGCCGGGCTCTGGACACAGAAACTGCAGCCCGGGAGCTGAAGACTCCCTCTTCTGAGGAATGCTGGTGACTAACCCCTAATTGCATTTTAAAAGAAGAACTCCGGGTAGCTTTCTGGCCCTGGGCAGCTGTGACGGAAGCCTTGCAGCTGTGGCTTTACTGTCACTCTGGGAAGGGGAGATGTCAGCAGCCAGATCAAATCAACGGCACATTAACAACTGATAATGGTAGTTAACTCACTTGGTTAACCGTGTGAGCCCATGCTTCACCCCTGAGCATCTCCACTTCAGCTCCCAGGCTGGTCTCCAGCCACCATTGACTCTCGGCTCTCATTCTCTGTTAATGCAGAAACCTGGAGCACATTAAGTGGAGGGGACGGTTTACAAGAAAAGCTCATGAATTGATTCCGTGACCCAGCAGAGGCTATTAAAAATGATTGAATGGATATGGAAATGAGTAATCGTCCAGCTGGACTGGGGGCTGAATGCCGCCAACTCCATTCAATGGGAACCACAAATAAAGCAAGGCCCACGCAAAGCCGCCGGAGCCTCTGGGTCATGGTGTGAGCTGCGGGAAGCTGCCCAAGGATTTCCATCACGTTTACCTGTTCTCCTGGTGCTGTGGGCTCTCCTCAGCACCTGTGTGCTTGGACTCATCAATTCTTGAAGGCTTCACAACCAGGAATCTCTTATCCCATGCGAGTGCTTGGCCAGCTTCCACGCTGGGGGAAACGGGGGCATCAGAGCCCCCAGCCCTGGCTCCCCCAACCCACATTCACAAGGATCAGAAAATAATCCTGGACTGCCTCAGTTTCCATCCCAGGAAGCCTATTCCTTGCTGCCTGGTCAGAGTCCCAAGGAAGCGGGTGATGGAAACCTTCAACAGGTTTTCCATATGTGCATGGTAGCTGAGGCTGATGGATATCTAATTAAAGGCAAAGCTGGGCCAATGAGCAGCAGAAAGAGTTAAAACTGAACTGGAGACCCGCTGTGTGTAAGGGTAGGACACTGGGCTCTACGGTCTCCTTTGTGCCAGGAAGAAGGAGCTTGTCCTAAGGAACATGCCACAGAGAGGCATCATATAATACATTTATTTAAAAAGCACACAACAGAATCCCACTTACATGAAGTATAGAGACTAAAGGTTCATTCTTATTTGTTATTTATAGTTGTGTCCTCTCTCCAGCCCAGCATGCCAGCACAGCTGGTATTAAGGGGTGGAAGGACCGGGCTGAGGACCTTGGTGGTCTGGAAGAAGGGGCAGGAAGGACAAGCCATGAGCATGCCACACGTTGAGCGGCTTCCACCTCCAACAGCAGCCCAGAGAGCAGAAACTCCAGCGCTGCCCTGGCTGCCTCGTTCGTACAAGGCTGCGAGGTGCAGTTCTGCAACGCTGCCCTGCTTTGGGACCGCTCCTGTCCCTGGCTCCGTGTGCCACCACCCGTCACCAGTGAGAGCATCAGCAACCTCCATGCGGGTCTGGGGAGGACTGATGAGTTCTGTCTCCTGCAGCAATAACTGGTTCTGCTGTGTCCAAGCCTGGTCTTCGCAGCAGATGCTGCAAAGGGCACCGGACCAGTATTTGCTCCCGAGGAGGGACATTCGGTGGTGCTGGGTGAGCCAACAGCAGAAACCATGACCCCCTCACCCGAAGGAACTTTCTTCCCCTGCAGCCTTCTCCCAGCAGGCAGCTCTCACCCCCCTTCCCATCCATCACTCCTGGCTTTCAGGCCACTGTCAGAAACCTCCTGCAAAGGGACAATGGCAGCCCAGGGTCCCCATTCACCCCTGGAGAAAAGGGCCCATGCATGCAGAGTGACAAATGGCTTGTCCCCAGCTGGGGGCAGAGGGCTGGGCGCTCCCCATCAGCTGCAGGGGGGCAGCCCTTTGTCTCGCTCTGGAGAGACGGAGCGGAGGTCGGCCCCTGCTCTTAGGCTTCGCAGCATCTCTCAGTTTGATGTTTTCCATGGTGATGCGACAGTCCAGGCTTCCCGCATCGCCCCGTTCTTGCCCGGAGCTCGCAGCATCCCTCGCCGTTGGTGTTGGGTCTCCAGCTGTGCCCGGGAGGGTTCCAGCGCAGGAGTCCTGCCGTGACGGCGTTATTTACAGACATACCTCTCCACCTTCCGCCGACACTTCTTGCACACCACGTAGCAGCACCAGTGGTACTTGCAGTGGCACCGCTCCACCACCTCCTCCGTGTAGGCATTGTAGCCGCGGCCGCAGCACAGCAGGTTGCAGCCGTCGCTGCCCACCGAGGTCTTGTTGCATGGCCTGCCAAGGGGAGGATGCAGAGCCAGAGCTGGGGGAGCATCCCTGCCCACCTCAGCCTCCTGCCAGAGCTTTCGTGCCCTTAGCAGGAGGCGGCGAGATGCACGGATCCGCTTGCAAACTGGGACTGATGCCAGCTCGTGTTGTAGGGCCGTGTTTGAGCAGCTGTGGCTGAGCTTGGGCACACTCTGCATCACACTGGGGGCAGGAAATTCCCATGGAGAAGGAAGGGAGGATGGCTGGGACCAGGAACTTCTGCTAAATCTAACAGGGGTTGCAAATCCCAGCCCCGAGGCTTCCCCATCCCTCTAAAAATTCCCTCCCACCCTGCAATCGCTCCAGAAAGGAGACATCTGGCAAGCACCGCGGACTCCCAGAGCTG